GTTATTTATATTGACTCCACCAAATCCAGAGGAAATGCATGCGTGGATTTGCCATCTTGGGTTTGTGGTAAATCTGGATCACATTCAGGCTTAATCAGTTCCTGTTCTCAGCTCTCCCTTCCTCTGCAGAAGGCCCCTCTGCTAGTGTGGTGTCAGCAGAAAGGAAAAGGAAGCTCAGCTTGCAGTCAGAGGTTTCCCTCCCTCCTGTTTCTATGTGATTGTTTGGTATTTCCATAAGCAGTCTGTGCCTTTTGGTCTTCTGAGAAAGCATTTATCTATGCCGGGACAGAGATACTACAGGGTCGGATATGTAGTAAATGCAAAATGAAATGAAACACTTTTTAGATCACTGAATTGAGTGAATTGCTCATTATGCCTCAATAGGCTTCTCCCTTCCTGCTTTTGACAACATTTAGTTAAGAGATGTGCCCAAGCCGCAAAGTTTGAAAACAAATCTGAACTTCCCCAGAGTTTGGGAGTGTCTGGATTCAGCAGTCTGAAGAGGTCTGGTATTACAGAGAGGTGGCAGACTCTCTATTCTTAAGGTTGTAGCCAGCTTCCATTATCAAACTCAATTTTTGATCTCCTACAACTTTGGTTCAGAAGATTTGGCCTGAAAATTGTAAAATTTACTCTGAAGTATATAAAAAATACTTCCATGTTACCAATCTGAGTTACAGATCACAAAATTATCTTAGTTTAAAATTCTGGCTTGTTTTTGATCCCTCGAGCTTAAAAGCACCTTGTTATAATCCCTGCTACTATCTCTTCAGTTTCTTCTTACAGTTAAATCTCCTTGAAAACTCAGGCACGGGGTATCTGAAGAAAGTGAAGCAACGCTATTAAATATTTTTGTTGTCTAGTTTTAGGCCCAATCCAGCCCCCATGGATGTCAGTCTGAGTTTCTGTGATACTGTATAGCAGGAACAACAAGGAGTCTGGTGGCACCTTAAAGACTAACAGATTTATTTGGGCATAAGCTTTCGTGAGTAAAAACCTCACTTCTTCGGATGCATAGAATGAAAGTTACAGATGCAGGCATTATATACTGACACATGGAGAGCAGGGAGTTACTTCGCAAGTGGAGAACCAGTGTTGACAGGGCCAGTATAGCAGGGGTCGGCAAGCTTTCAGAAGTGCTGTGCCGAGTCTTTATTTATTCACTCTAATTTAAGGTTTCGTGTGCCAGTAATACATTTTAACGTTTTTAGAAGGTCTCTTTCTATAAGTCTATAATATAGAACTAAACTATTGTTGTATGTAAAGTAAATAAGGTTTTTAAAATGTTTAAGAAGCTTCATTTAAAATTAAATTAAAATGCAGAGCCCCCCGGACCGGTGGCCAGGACCCAGGCAGTGTTGAGTGCCACTGAAAATCAGCTCACGTGCCACCTTCGGCACCCGTGCCATAGGTTGCCTACCCCTGCTGTATAGGGTGTGAGAGCATATTGCCCAATTGCAACTCAAAAAGAACAGAAGGATATTTCTATAGCTATTGGCTGATTCCTGTTAACCATCGTGGAAATTCCAAGTGTCAAACAGACCCTTACATTGCGCAGAGGGTAATTACTTGAGTTAGAATTTAGCCAGGACATCCAAATTAATATTCTTAATCTTGCAAAAAGTGATGCGGGGTTATTTCTAGTGGTTTACTTTTTAAAACTGGTAATAGCTTTCTTATTACGCTACCCTTGCACTCTCTCCTGAGCTACCTCATTTTGTCCTCACTGGGCAGCTTGCTATTCTCTGCTCCTGTTAGAGTTGGCTTGTTCAATAGATTTCAAGGCCAGAAGGGACCTTTGTGATCATCTAGTCTGACCTCCTCTATAACACTGGCAATAGAACTCCCCCAACAGAATTCCTTTTGAACTAGAGCATATCTTTCAAAGAAACATCCAGCTTGGATTTAAAAATTACCGGTGATGGAGAATCCACCATGACCCTTGGTAAATTATTCCAATGGATAATTAGCCTTATTGCCTTTCCTGTGCAATCTCTTTTGGAATGAGCACCCAGTTCCTGTATACTCTCTCTGTTCCATGTGACAGGAACTGACCTTAATTTACATTTTTGGGGAGCTGTGGACTTAATGCTTAGCCCTAGGCAGAGAGGCCCAAGGCCTTGTGGTGAAGGCACTGGACTGGGTCTCAGGAAATCAGAACTTTATTCCTGGCTCTGCCACAGACTCCCTGTGTGACCTTGGGCAAGTCACTTTGCTTTCTTTCTGCCTCAGTTTCACCATCTGTAAAAGGGGGTTAATAGCACTGTCCTGCCCTGACAAGAGTAAGTTCATTCATGTGCAAGATGTGCTCAAATATTACAGAGATAGGGTGCTGATAATGGTGACATGTGAAAGTAGGTATTGCAGGAGAACCTGACAGTGCAGTGTACCCCCATATATTATATTGCTGCAGCACCCAAAATGTGCTACATGCTATACAAACACATAGTCCCTGCCACAAAGGTTTAAATTCTAAATAGACAAGGCAAGTGACCAGCCAATGAGAAATTGTTAAGAACCCAGCACCACCAACTTTCTTCACCTCTGCCCAGATGTGCCAGCTAATCTGTTCTGCCCTGTCTGATCCAGAGTGAGAGTGCCCTCCTTCTGTCTGTTCACCCCGTGGCATAGATTCAGGAACAATCTAAAAGCCTGGGGGAAGGAAACAAAAAAAAATCTAACAGCCAGAGAATTCCCACATTATAGAAAGTGACCAACAGTGGGAAAAGTGACTGGTAGTGTGTGGAGAGGCTTTCTGGCTGTGCGGGCAGAACCCTACATAGTTTCACCTGTCCCCAGCAGACTCTGGAAGCTTGTAGTCTGGGTTTAAATTGTTTAAATGTGTAAGTAATAGTAGGCCCATGTCTGAAAGGAAGGTCACATCCATTTCATCAAGTACAGATAAGAAAATGTGCTTTGGGCCATGCCCCAGCTTCTCTGAGCATCCTTGGATCCAACAGCAGCCTTGAATCTAACAAGAATCTTACATTGTGAAACTGTCATGTCAAAAATGATAGCTGCATCCCATCGGTCCTAGGTGTTGATAGAATCCTCTGCAGACATTAAAACAGATCACCTGCATTACAGATTACCTTCATTACACTCATTGGAGTTACGCCAGTGGAGAATCTGTCCCACCACGTTTCTTAGGTGGACCAAGCAACAGCCAGCTAGAAAGCAATTGCCTTCACCTTGCATGTGCTATCTCAGTGGTTCTCAAACTTTTGTACTGGTGACCCCTTTCACAGAGCAAGCCTCTGAGGGTGACCCCCCCTTACTAAATTAAAAATACTTTTTAATATATTTAACACCATTATAAAT